AGATATAGTTTCTCATTATATTTTTTGTGTACGTGGTGACAGGCTTAAAAACATTATAAGTGTATTAGCAATTTTTTAAATGTTGTAATACTATTTATAAAGTATTAAAAAAATTATATAATTTTTAAAAAATTAAAGTTTTTTAACGGGCGGGTATGGACATGAGGTTAGGCCCGTTTTTGCGGGCCGGGCCGGGCCCGCCCACACATGATGGGCAGAAAATTTATAAAAAGTCCGGCCCGAGCCCGTTTTTGTACAGGTCTACAATTGAACACTTTTATTGACTCTTGGTCAAAACATAGTCAGTGTAGTTAATATATACGGAGTATTTACATCGAAAATTTTAAAATGCACGTAACGTGCTCGGTAACGAGCACGTAATCAAATCTGGCACTAGACGAGTAGATGCGTTTATAATTAAGTGAGCTTTGAGGCCCAACTTTTTTATCTTCTACGATCCTTATAATTTTAATGTAGTGCATGTATTTGTTGTAGTTGTTATTTAGTCACTTGTAAAATTTACTACATACTAGAAGTGTCGACAAAAGATTTTTTTTGTAAGATTATATTCAATCAGGTTAATCTTTAATTTTAGACCCAAATAGTTGAATAAAATATTTCCGAATTATATTTCCTCTATACCGTAGATTGTTTAAGAGAAAATTGCCTAAATTAAGAATAAAAATGGCCTTCTTTCAAAAATAGGATTATGTGTTTGATTTTATCTAAATTAAATAGGATTAATCATTTTATTTCTACCCTGATTTAGTTAACTAATTAATTAACTTAATTAATCCCCGCGGTTCCCTTGCATAACCAAGGCAATCCGTTGGTGAAGGGATCAATCCGTGGTGGTGGAAGCCGACGGTGGGAACGAATTTCTGGAAACTCAGAATGTTCTTACTTGACTAGATTTTTTGGTGTGGTCTGGTCTGATTTGTTCTAATTTGATCTAAACTGGTCTGGTAATGTTTTGTCTCTGTGTATTTTGTAAATATCCAAGTCTGGTTTGATCTGATGCGTTCTGGGACTGAAAAGAGTCCAAGTTAAAACATTTGCATGCAAGAATTTTTTCCGATAACAAGTGGCTGTCCGGCGGCATGGGGACAACAATGTTAAAGCCCTAAGAGGGTATTTTGGTCTAACCACAAATAAAAAGTCGTATTTAAGGTATTTTAAACTAGTAGATCATATTTTGGGAAAGAAAACTATATTTTAGTCCTATTGTGGACTTCTCCCATTGTATATTAAAAAAATGCATAATTAAATGAAAAAGTGTCCAAACTAAGATTAAAATATACAAGTTTTTTTTCAAAAAATAAGACCATATGTTTGATTTTAGCTAAATAAGACTAATCGATCCATTTCTACCCCTAATTAATGGCCCCTATTTTCGCTGTATACCCAAATCAGTCTATTGGTGCCTTGGTGGTAGCAGCAAACTCCGGAAGCGGTGGTGACAAATTCTGTCGGCGGCGTAGGGCTCCGACGACGGCAACAACAATGGTGGAGAACGAATTTCTAGCGGACCATGGATCACCATGTAATTTTTGGAAAAAATTCCGATAAGGGTATGTTGGTCAATTACAAATGAAAAATCATTTTTAAAGTATTTAATTTAAACTAGTTGGTCCTATTTTGTATAAAAGTTATGTTTTAATCTATTAAGATAAATCTCCCGAATTAAGGATGTTTTTACTTGGACTGTAATTTGCCAGTCTGGCCTAGTCTGATATAACATAGTCTAGTCAGGTCTAAACTGGTCTGGTTTCTTTGTATTTTTATAACTACCCAAATCTGGTCTGATCTGATCTGGTCTTATCTGTTTTGGTCTGGGATAGATTAAATAAAAACATCCTAAATATTCCATATAAAATATTCCATATAAGAACTTGTAGGAGAAGAAGAACGGTTTAACATGAATATAATGTGAGTGCTCTTTTTATTATAAAAATAAAACCTCATAATGTTTACTCTTGAGGCAACCGTATGGGCTTTTATACAAGGGTTCTAACTTCTAAAGCGGGCTCACGTGCTCTCTAAGGAGCACATAACGTGCTCTATAAAATTTCTGGTATTTACATGGCAGCCGAAGATGCCAGATATGTCCGATTTCTTCCACAATCCAGCCCACAGGACATGACAACGGAGAAGAACTTCAGCTGCCCTTCCAAATTCTAGGCGGCGATTTGGCGTGAATGAGGCAAAACATCGGGCGATCAACTGGTAGAAGTGTAGCATCTGCGGCCGCATAAATGAAGGGCCACATACCCCCGGTCAACCTTTGACCCGACAAGACGGTGGCGACCAAGGAAGAGTAGGAAGGCGGCGAGATGAGTGGAGGACTGTCTCTAGGCTTTGGCTCTGCCGCTGAAAACGAGACATCAGCTTCGATCGCTTCATCACTACTGCCTAACTAGAAGGAGACCTGCAACTGCCCAAATGTGATCTGTCAACATGAAAGGTATGCAATGGATGCGCAGATCCAAACCTAGACATGCAGCGTCATCAGAAGAATGAGAACAACTAACTGTGTACTGAGCTTAAAGGTCGATGAAGGCGGTTTAGCAAACGGAAATTTCAGTTTTGGTGCACGGAGGATTGTGACCAGACCCTAGCTGCAGCGAGACCGTCAGACCGATGTTTCATCAACTCCGGTGAGCGAGATACGACTCTAATTTTCAAACGGAGATAAGAAACGAGACTCGCCCCAAACCCAGGTTTGATGACTTCTGGAATAGTCAACGCATAAAAGAAAGTAGAAATGAACCACTTTCAGCTAAATGTTTCATTCCTCACCCAAATGGGTTTCAAATTGCAATCAAAAGCAAGTTCTCTATTTTCAACATTTCTGATTGCAATTCAATTCTTATTTCTGAAATGAAACTTGGACCATATCTTTGCATGTGACTTAATGTCATACATATTGTTAATATATACAAGTATACAACGTATTCTATAACTTCAGTTCTTTGATTTCTTAGAAAGTGGACATATTACCAAATAAGTATGGAGTTTGAGATAAATCTTCACTATAATTGAAATTAAGATCTGAAGTGTAAATCTTTCAATTTATCTAAATAGTAACTAGCATGGGCACGCGCGTTGCGCGAAGGTCCGTGCCCAATGATAGGCAAATTAGAAATTTGAACGCAAAAGCAAAGGCGAATACATAACAAGTTTGCAAAAGTGCCCACAAATGTGGTTTGACAGCTAAAATACAAGGTTTAGTTTCGTCGAGACGAAGTACAAGAGCCGCAGGGGCAGGAAGTTTTAGGATGACATTGCTGCTAATCTTTCCACATATAATGTAAACCTAAATCAATAGAGGAATCTGATATTTGAAAACTTAAGTTAAATCTTTACCATGATCAAAATTGACAGAAATCCATAGGTATCGATGAGACAACAAGTGTGAAAGAATTTGTCTCACATCTACTAAACATGAGATATCGATGAGTACTTCAACTTATTTTGAGGGAAAATACAAATGAAAAGTCATCTCTGTTTAAATGCTCCTGCAGATAAGATTTGAAAAAAATAAAGTGCAATTAGTTTTACCTAGTATTCACTAGATGGCTAGAGGCATTAGATGTTCGATGCAAGATTGATTTACTAATTACGCAGTACTAAATAACACAAGGCAGAAAGAAACATTATCCTTGAACATCATGCGTACCTGCTCATAGACCAGTTGATTCAACTCACTCAATGATGGGGTTCTCTCCAAGACGTGTGCCTTATTTAAAGAAAGATACAAATATAAACATTACCCCCTTGCTGAGATTGATAAGTTATTTTGTGATACACATCTTGTTTAAGAAAAATACATCACAAAATTTGCAACATTAGAACATGCAAAAGGAGCATTAAAACAATAGAAAGTTTTAACAATTTGGACCAGCAGGAAGTAAACTTTAACACCTCCAGGAAAGCAAAAAGCTGTCAAATCATATGGACGCATATGCATCTTCTTTCCAGGAGGATACTTTAAAAGCATCTGCAACCAAGAAAAAAACCAAAACATCACACTATTATTATAGAAATTGCACATGTTCTGGTTTAAGAGCAAATCTTTTTTACCAGCTTCATCTATAGAAAGATTTTCAACATCAATGTAGTCAGGGAAGAAAGCAAAAACGGACAAAAAAATTGAAGGGGAAGACGTAAAACGTAATAGTGGAAATGGAAAAGCAGTGAAGATGCAGACAAGCGTGGTGGTGCGCAAACATGAAACACACTTTTGGAGATGATATGGAGAAATTACCTTTGAACAACGCTGGCCCGAGGTGCACGCGAGAGCAAGGAAACGGTGAAGGAGAAGCGCTCTGGATATCCCATTGGGCGTTACTCCCGGTGTATTTAAGACCCCTCAAACGTGCACCAAGAAGATTTAAAAAAACATAAAATTTCAGTTTATGTAGCGGTGAAAAAGGAATATGGGCTGGGGCTACGAGCTTTCTAGGGCCGAAGTGGACCAATGTTTTAAAAAAGAATAAAAAACAAACGTTGATCTTAGTTAGCAACACCCCCTCAAAAACAAAGCATTAATAGGACAACATTCTGCATAAATAAAAATAGAATAGCACATCAAGGGCATAAATAATTAAAGGACACATCACTGGGGGGTCAATGTGGTTCAATGATAAACGAGCAGAAAATGGGGGGGGGGGGGGGGGTGGCTTTAACAGGAATACTTCATTACCGCCAATAAACAAATGCACATGTTCAGAAATTAGTATACCTGTGACCATGAACAACACAAGACATACCCGGTATGAACGAGAGCGAATGTTCCAAAGTAAGCAGTGCGGGAGAATCATAAATCTTGTAATGAACGACCTGCATAGAACAGCAGCAAAACCAATACCAAATCCACACACAAGAATACAAAACACATCCATAGCCTTATTTACATTCCCAACAATGGGGAAGCAAAACCAAGTTAATAGACTTTACAAGATGTTCTGCATGATCACATGCACACAAAAGGTATTAAATATAGAAGTGACGGTGCAAGCGTGGACAGGTGCATAATTAAGCAGTAAGTAGTGCGATAGTAGCAGCATCACTTTCTGGCAATTATACAGTCCAGCAGTTGGGCAAAAGAGCTTGTGGGTGAACACATAACGGGCAACTGAAGAGCGACATCCGACAGAGCGTGGCTAGAAGTATGCAGTGACCACCCACTATGTACAGCAAAAAAATGCTTCTTGGACATTAAGCGTTGCTTGGTTTGTGTTTTTTGGGACCCAGGGGCGTGAGCTTGTCTTCAGGAATATTGGCCTTGTGTGCCACAGGAGCCTTGGAGGATGAAGGTGAGGCGGCAGGTAACTGATTGATGGATTTGAAGTTTAACTTCCTCTTCAAAGAGGTCAAGTGAGCAGCAGCAGTTTCTGGCGATGTGTCGTCATTTTTCGGGGAGTTCTGGGGGGTTATCTCAATACAGGAGATGCACACAATCGAGTAGGGATTGCCCTGCAGCCCCTCTTCGTTGCTCTTAGTACGCTTCACTCCAGCGACAAAGTTGATGTTTTGCAGTTTTGCATCAAATATTTCCAAATCCATGTCACCAGTTGGATCAATATTCACACATTTCAAGAGCTGCATCACATCACTTGTGAAGAGCGTGACAGGGATGGTGCTGGTCCCGTCATCCAGCGAAGCGTTGAGCCTGAACCTGTATGGACCCAAAAGTGTTCAGAAGAGCATATGTGAATAATACAGCTGCATTGCAACGGACGGACATACCTTTTAACAGCAGTGCCATTCTTCTGCCCACAGAAAAGGCACTGAAAGTTCACACCTTCTGCCCCATGTACTCTACGATTGCAGTAGTCACACCCAATGTAGAAACCTTCCTCTGAAGTGTCTGTCAAGTGAAATTTGGCGGACACCCAAACAATGGGATCCTGCGAATGGGTGAGGAGAAAAACAATAGTCAGAACTGCAGCATAAAGAACTTAAAGTAAGGAGCGGGTGGCAATCCGCTAGGCTGACCTCATTGAGGGCGCTTTCCAAATCCTTAAGGGCAGTGAGCGGCTGCGAATGAGGCTTGGCAATTAGCGCAAGAGCTTCGTCATATTTCTTTGCAAGCAGTACGTCGTTTATTTTATCTCTGTTGTCAGAAACCCTGACATGACATTTAAACACAAAGGAAATATGTCATCTTCCTCAAAATAACTATGCAGTGGATATAACCCATAGGGGGGAAAGTGGTGGGTACCATTTTTTCAACTGTAGCGCCCGTTCTCCGTCAGGATTGAGCACAACATGACAGTCAAAGCGAGTCGACAAAGTCAAACCTGAACATAACATATTCAGCTTAGCAAAGCAAGGAAAAGAACAGGTAATTGCGAATAAGCACCCCTGTCAGTGGGCAAAAAACATGCTTTGGTTTTAACAATCACACATCAAATGATATGTGAGAATCAGAACAGAAGGCACATTGATTGTATTGGTGTGCGAGGATGTGTTTCAGAATGAATACAGATGATCACATCACCTTGATAAAGGTTGATGGCAGCCCTATTTATCAGAAGCAAGGGGAAATCTCCAGTTTGCAAACATTGGTCAATCTCACCACCATGTCGAGTGATGAATTCCTCCCACATGGTGAATGTAACTGGGATGCACCTATTCAAATAAGCAAGAAAGTGAGCCACGCTTAGAGGCGATTTCATAATAGTTGAAAGGCAAACAACAAAGGGAGTGTGTACTGTGCATCGAGCAGGACGACATCCCATGCAGGTTTTTGTTTCGCATTGGAGAAGACAAATGTTCGCGGCAGCTTCTTCACCACTGCAGCCAAAACATCTGCATGTGTGGTAAAGAAAGAGGATATCATATAAAAATAACAAGAAGTATGATATGGCAAATACACAGTTAAAGCATACTAACTGATTCGTTCATCGCGCATGTAAGAAGCATAAATGTCTGAAAAGGGGGTGGTGTCTGCCTCAGCCAGTTGACGGAAGTCTTGACCTTCTTCCTCAACAACATCTTGGATCATAGTTCGTCGTGTGAATGACCAAACGTAAGGGTACGCTCCATCAACGCAGAAACGCATGTCACTGATCGATTTTACATACGCATTAGAGACAAGATAGGTGGAGTATAGCGTAAGGCGCTGATCGATCCCTTCAATGTCACCTTGGAAAGCAGTCGCCTGAACCCTGGTTCCCTACAAAGAGTAACACTGGCAAGTGAACACTACAGGTAGCAAAAGAGGAAAAGTGGGCGCAGTAGAGTAAGCATCACAAAACATACGGCAGAATCCATGAGTATCATCGGCATAAACTTTATGGGAGACGCCTTTGCAGCACGCACATTCTGTTTTTCCACCACAGTAACTCGGCAGGTCCACGGCCTGGTATTTGGTGTCACAGATAGGATTGGCACTTCAGCTTCCATTTGTGTCGTTCACCTGCAACAACGGGAAAGGTAAACAAATCTAAGAATCAAAAGGAAAATGTAAGTGTGAGCAATTTGCAAATATAAACACATAAGTCATTGGCAGGACCTAGTTAATAAAGGGCAATATTTCCTCAAAGACAACGTTGGCAGTTGTAGCAGCGAGAGCTGGCCTAGGATCATCCGGACAAATGACAATTTTAATTGAATCTGCATTGCGCGCTCTCGACAGGGCAACATATAGCTGTCCGTGAGAAAAAACAGGCTCCTTTAAATAGATGCCAACGTAGTCAAGCGTCTGACCTTGCGATTTGTTGATCGTCATCGCAAAGCAAACCTTCACAGGAAATTGAACGCGTTTAAACAGGACTGGGCAGTTTTCATCCCTTGAAACTTCAAGGGGAATTTTTGGAATGAAAACGTGTTTGCCTTTGTGGTCGCCCGTAGCAATGTAACAGCTTAAAATGTGATTCCCAAATGAATCACATACTAAGCGGGTTCCATTACACAAGCCTGCGCACGGATTAAGATTTCGAAGCAACATTATTGGACAATTACGCTTCAGAGTCAGTTTGTGGGGGGGCAAGCCAGCAGGGGATAAAGTGTGTAAGTAATCCTCACAGTGTGTGTTTTTTGAGTCAATAGGTATATCATGGCTTAGGAATGTGTGGGCTTCTCCCGGGAACTTGTTCATTAAAGATGAATTGATAAAATCTACAATGTCATTCTTTGTTGTCAATATGGCACGTGACATCAGAGAGTAAGGGTCATTTTCGAACAAGCACAAATTCGGGTACACTGCTGCAAAGAGTAAATCCAATGAGACAGTTTCATTGACCCAAGGTAGTAAAAAGTTGGAAGGGATTCTGATTCTGCCTGGGGAGGTGTTCGGTTCAGTTCCATTACCAACTCGCAATAAATAGTCACAAAAACCTGGATCCTCATGGGCGCGCATATTTTCAACAAGTCGCAGTCGCTGCACGTGCGGCCAGATTATCATTGATCTAAGTAAGCAAGCATCAACAAAGTCATGCCTCGTACCAGAACGCACAACTGGCAAAGTTTGCCTAAAATCACCGCCAAACACCATAACCCGCCCTCCAAAAAGAGTGTCACTATCTAGTATGTCCCTCAGTGTGGTGTCCAAGCTTTCAACAATCATGCGGTTTGCCATGGATGCCTCATCCCACAAAATAAGTCGTGCTTCTCTAAGCAGGCGCGCTTCAGAAGACTGTTTTCCGATATTGCAAATGTACTTTGATTCACCGTCAAACGGTAGTTTAAAGCGGGAGTGCGCAGTGCGACCTCCAGGAAGAATAGATGCCGCAATACCAGAACTTGCAGTTGCAAGTGCAATCCATTTGTTTGTCCTTGTTGCAGCGAGCAAGCACCTGTATAAGAAACTTTTCCCTGTCCCCCCAGGCCCATCAACGAAGAACACACCTCCCTCACAAGCGTGCACTGCTGCCATGATGGAGTCAAATGCCACTCGCTGTTGAGTATTTAACGATGAGATTCCATTAAGGTCTGCATCACTCACAAGCACATTAAGCTCCGCCAATACTTCCCGTGTGAAACCGTCAGGGACAGATCCGCATAAGTCGGCTTCCACCAAGTTAAAAGAATCCATTTCCTTCCCCATTTCAGTGAAGAGATCACGTAAAACTATTAAAGCAGACTGTTCAGCAAGTGAACATGGCTCAAACCGGGCAAAATCTTCACACAAATGCGACTTGTACTCCTCCCATAGTGCACGTGGGTCTGGCACATCTGAGAAGCATAAATGTGTGGCGAACAATCTACGCAAGCTGGATGGCAGCTGGAACAAAACTGCCTCATCGAGGGATGCCCGAATCACAAAGTCACCCGACAAAAGCCCGAGACGTTCAGCCGCAGCCCTGTATGTGGGCAATTCATCATCACCAACACTTATGAGATGCATAAATGATGTTGGGGCTCGTACATTAGCCAATAAGAGGCGAAGATAATAGCGCTCCCCTTCTACCGGATTCACAGAGACAAGTCGACCTATGACTTCTTTCCGTTTGCGTTGAGTCCATTCTTTGCGCTGACTGTTCCAGACAAAGTAATGGGGGAATTCAACATAAAGAAGATGCAGAGATTTCGCAACTTGGTCAGACGCGTTCATCACAAAGAACTGCGTCAACATTGTTTTCATGGAATCAGCAGCCTGCGTGATGTATGTTATGCGCTGGTTGCCGTAAAAGGTAAGGTATTGAGAATTTTCTAGGTGGACCTGCAGTGAAAGAACAGCGGGGCGCATTTCAGAGATGGGAAAGCTGAAGATACGCCACGCAGCCTCGGGGGCAGAGACCCACCTAGCTTTTTGAAAATCGGAAATTTCGTCGATCACCTCATCCTCCCTTGTCTCTGACAACGACATGCTTATCCTGTCATGTCCTTTGTACACATATTTGTAAATGTACTTAACTGATTTCACGCTTGCACAAACTTCCACATTGATGTGGCAATCGTATTTGCGCAATAACTGGGCATTATAAGGGACAACCCAACGGTTGTCCAGGGAATGCTTTCTTACTATGACAGTTATTCCAGATTCACGACGTCTGTATGCAGGGAAGCAGTTTTCATCAAATTCTGTGACAGCGGAATAGTTACGGGGAAACTTATTTCTGCATGTTGGGGATCCTGATCCACGCGCAACAACCATGCAAGGACATTGTGGGTTGATCGTGCCGCAGGGTCCATGTAGCATATGTTTTTTTACAAGCAGATACAGTCCGGGGTCTGTGATAGGATCCGGCAGTTCAGCAGTGATTAACTGATCACAGCGAGCAGAAGTTGTTATTTTGCATTCCCTTGACAAAATGACGAGAAAATGAGCATGAGGGAGGCCCCTTTTTTGGAATTCGATGACATACGTGTATGCAACTACCTTTCCAAACATAGATTTTGAAATAATGTCCTTTTTGAAGTCTTCCAGGCGCGCTCGAAAAACACGTGCAACAAGGTCAGGGCGGTTTTGGGCCTCATCAGCGAATTTTAGGCGGTTTTTAATTTCTGGCCAGCTGGGATTGCACGTGATGGTGATAAACAGATCTGGCTTACCATAATTCTGGACAAGCGCCATTGCGTCCATGTAGCGGCCACGCATGTCGCGCGGCCCGCCAATGAATGAGCCTGGCAGTATCACGCGCCTGCCAACGTCACTGGTGGTCTGGATACCTGTGCTGACGCTGTCAACCAGCCCCTGGTATGTCTCGCCCCGATAGTCACGCTGTTTGCTTCGATAATAATCAAGCCTCTGCGTTTCAATTTTAATATATATGTCAACAATGTATTGCTGGAAAAGGCGCCCAGAATGCAGGATAAGCGCCTTGTCTGCCCGGCGAAGTTGTAACTTGTATGCGTAATATTCCCTGCAAGAAATAGAATGTCGTTTTTTGCCAGTATTGAGCAAGAGTTCCTCTCTTGCTATAAGCGATTCGCCTGATCCAAACAGAGTTGTGTTAATGGAAAGTGAGTTAGTAGGTGCTGAACCGGGGTGCAGCACGCCGGAAGGACACCTGGCAATTCCCTCGTGCCAACCAACCTCTCCTCGCGGGAACAAAAGCGGGTATTGTAGAGGGTCATAACACCCATAGTAGTAATGGATGTTCTGAGACCTTCCACTGTGGGCATACACACGAATGTTTCTGTTTGAAGGCGCGCCTTCATAGCCATCTTCGACCCAAACCGCAGCAACTTGAGATGTTGCTGGGCGGTTGTAAACACGTTGATCGAGACAAGGATTACCATTAAGGACAATGGAAAATTCCCCTGCTTGTTCAACGTCACCAAGTGTTTTGAAGAACTGGGCATACGGGTTTGCACACATCACTTCCATTAACACTTGGACCACATCTTTGTCCAGACGATCTGTTGATTCTAGCCTGCTGGAAAGAGCATGGTCTGTGTCGTAGAAATACAATTGAAGATTACGGGGTGGGCAACCATCAGGGAGAAGATCATTTATGAAATGATATATTTGGCCTTGAACCCTAAACGTATATATCCCCTGGTTCCGTCTGCAAAGACTTTTGTCGTAATTGTAGATCCCGATGGACGTGAAAGCAAAAGTATTGTTGTATGTGCGCACACATGAGCGAAAGTGTTTTGATAAAGGATCATGCGCCGTGAATAATTGAACCAGCTGCTCCGGCATTTCAGTTGAGGTCAGGACAACTTCACCCTTGCTGCAGCACATACTTGCGGTCTCATATTGCAGGCGTTCAGCACCACAGAATAAGCATTCAGGAACTTCCTGCAGCCTGTACACAGCACCGTCCGCAGGGGGTGAGCTGCTGGATTGTCCAGCGGATGTATGACCTGAAGCCCAGCACCGCCACGACCAAACAGTGCAGTATGCCAACAAGAGCCGCCAAGAGACGATGTGTTGTTAATTTCAACATGGAAAATGGTTCAGCGACAAGAAAGACAGGGTGGAAGTATTTTGGGTACCAGTTATGATCCGAACAGAGGCAACAAATAGTTGGTAGGGTGAGCAAGATAGTATGAGAGGCAAATAGAGGAGGGATAAGCGAGGATAACATGGGGAAACATTATTGCAGTTTTCGGTGGTTATTCATTTCAAGAGTAAATTAAAGGAAAGCAGCGTTGACACGACAAAGGCAAAAGAGACCGTATTCCAAAGACACAAGCGAACATCATATATCACAGGAATAACATGATTGTTAGTTTGGTTGGGTTGAAAAAGAAGGGACATTTCAAAAACCAGAGGGAAAAACAAATTAGAAAGTTTCACTAAAATGCGCTGGGGCAGAACACATATAAAGAACCATACATACGCCAGAACAGACCTGAAGAAGCTGCGCCCACTTGCACCTGATTGCCAGACGCAGCAGCACCAACAGATACGGCTCGATTCCTTGCAGCCCGCTCGCTATACGCCAACCGCCGACGCTTTTGAGTGCGTGCACGTTGTTCTTCCGCAGGTAGGTCACTACCCGAACCCCTAGTGCGGACCATGATCCAGCTACGTCAACCAAGTGCGCACCCCACACACTACCCAACTGATATTCAAAATAACACCCAAGGTCATTTCAACCCTCAAAGGCTAACAAATCAGCTATTCATGCAAAAACTGCTGAACCACAGCCCGGGAAGCAACACATTAAACGGATCGCAGGCGAGGCAAGCACCAGCGGTAGCTTAATGACACTAATTTTAATGGCTACAAACATTTAGAACAGCAACCCACATCGACCCAGAACAAACAAAACAACACACTTGTACACAACATTAGCTGACCCAACACAAACATCTCAAAACATGCACAACACATCAAACATGCAAGGATTGGCGAGATAAAACAGCATAAAAAACAGCAACGCAGCAAATTGTGAACACACAGAACCCTTTACAGGGTGAACAATAACACAAAAGACTTACAATTTCGGTAATTCAGCCCACTGCAGCAGGAATACCTAGCAACAAATACAATAACACCCGAAATCACTCAACGGCAAAAGCAAGAGAGAAAATTCCAACCAAACAGTTGCAAATATCAAGCAAGGCTAATACAGCTAGACAAAAATGTGGTAACATAAATATAGGATATTTATAAAAAGTGAGAAATTCAAATAATATGGCACAGTGGTCAAAAAAATCTTTTTAATATGACATAGATTTGTACACTGCTACAGGAAAGATTAATCACGTCATAGCTTTCCCGCCGGTTTCTCAAAAACCTTCGTCGTATAGTTTATTTTTTATAAAAAAATATGTTTTACGTTAGTTATTAGTAGAACCAATGTCATAAGCTTTTTCAAATATTACTTGGCTGAAGTGTTAATCTTTTTAACGGTGTGCATTTGCTTCAGTGTGCAAGGCTACTTGAAACTCCTTAAATTGTTTCAGTGTGCATTTGTTGTAAGCGGGATATTTATTTAACGTTGTAAATAGATTAAAGGGAAAATTAAAAGAGCCTAGGCAGGGATGATAATTTATCCACTTCCATTGGCAGACACTTCTAATTATTGTTTCATTACTTTTAAGGTGAAGGTTATTAAGAGTGCTAAAAAAAGAGAAAGGGATGACATATGATGTTCATCAATTACCTGTATGAAATGAATGTGTAATGAACAATTTCAAATTAGGGTATTATATTGTGACTTTTCCTCCTAATGTTGCTGCTAAGTTTTCTAGTTTTAATTAAATAAATGTATATGCACTTTTCATACGAAAATCTTTGAAAAAGCAAATGGTTTTGGGTGGCAAAGCAGAAATTTACACCCAAACAAAAAAAAATCAAGACTATCAACTTTCTTAAATCTTAAACATCCAATCATGTTGAGAAAGGTGTTTTAAAATAAGCGGAGGGTTCTGAGGTATCAAAACAGAAATGTGCACATGGACCGAAAAACAACTACTGGTCTCTTAGTTTGAAAAAGTTTGCTGCAAAAAAGTTAAGAATTACGTCTCAGGCTACTTCTCAAACAGTTTGCTGGCAATAAGTAAGGACAATTCCAGAAAACGAAAAGAAAGATCTGATACCACACAATCAAACAACTGTGTAGCTCATTCAGGTTCACAGTCCCTTCACTCCAGCAGTTTAGAGTGTGCAATGTCAATCAGGTCAATATAAATATTTTATTAAGTTAATTTAATAAAAAAAATAACAACACACATATTTTCTCAAGGTTGTTTACAATGAAACAGAATAGCAATGATAGACCCCAAATAACAGTTAATTTTATAATTTTTGGGAAAATATTTGGAGGATCTGTTGTTGGAGGATTCTTCTTATGAGTTACATTTTTCATAAAAGCATCTAAGGTCAGGAATGGAACACCAAACACTGAGTTCAATTCAAATATGTTCAGAAATTTGACAGAGAAAGCCAGTGCTCTTGCAAAAAAAAATCTTAACATTCTCCATTCCAAATTAGATGTGACATCTATTAATTATTGAAATGTATACTTTTAAATGGAAAGAAATAGCATGTTCGGACTTCTTGCACCGGCCTTTTCAAAAAATACATGATGTTTGTGTGTAATGCTGGAATTGTTTGTAATAGCGACATTCAAATAAGTGTCAACTTTTGTAATAGTGAAGTCATGCAATTTATCTAATTTGTTTCATTCCTTATGCAATAGTCAAGTAAACCTGTGCTAACTTTTGTACTTCGTGAAGAATCTAAGTAGTTTTTAGCAACTGCAGATCAACAAATATATATGGGAAATATTGTATTTGGTAATAGAGAAATTTATGAGAAATCATTGACTAAGGCATTTTGTCGAACAGTTCGTAAACATACACAAAATGTTTAACTAAGCAAACAACTGGTTTCCTTGCAAATACCATTGAACAATTTCAATACCTTCATAAACTGAACTATCCTTAAAAGCAGTCTTTATGTGGTGTTGGTTATGTATAAGCACTCCAGAATACAAGGTATATAGAAGTATAATCTTAAATTGCTTATAATTGCTACAATCAAAAGGTGATCTTTAAGATAAGAATTAACTGTCTCACAAAGTCACAAAATACGTTTCTGTGCCGAAGTGGATCAACACAGAATCCACTGTAGATGTAGTAAGAACGCACAGATTTTTTTTTTGCAAAAGCAACGCATTGCAAAGAAATTTCAAAAACCGTTGCAAGTATCAAGCAAGCCCAATACTGAAAAACACAGCCAGGCCAGCGGATCAAACACACAGCACCACAAAATCAGTCAACCAACACAGACCAAAGTTTAACCATCCTCAACACACCCCCACAACCCATAAATGTTAAGGCAGGGCTCAGGCCATATAAGACACCGGAACACCACATAAGAGCATCCCAGCAACAGGCAAGCGGCAACCGAGAAAAGCCAACCTCCCAACTTCACCCGAGACGCAACCCCAAGCCACCCAACCACAACATAAAAAAACAGAACACAGAGCAAAACACAAAAAAAAAAACCAGCAGAGCAAAAAAGACTCACAGTCTTGGAAGAGGAGACGAAGAACTGGCCAAGCAAAAACAACAGAGAAAGAGACCGCAGAGGAACGAACAGCGAACGAAATGATTCCAACGATCTTTTACAAGGCAGGTGCGAAAGCACCAAACAGTAAAAAGGAACGAATGTACAGAGATCAAGCGGATGAGGTTGAATCTGTCAGAGATATTTTCCTTTGTGTCAATCAGGCCGAGTTGAATCGCACCTCGCGCTAGGATATTTTTTTTTGGGGAATTTGAAGTTGCGCTGGCCAAAAGAGAGGGGAGAAAACGGAATAATTCCGTTAGTCAAGCTCAGTGTGATTCCGGCCCTCCGTGTGTACTGCATCAACGGTAAAAAGACCAAGTTAACATTCTTACACAATTTAAATATAACCAGATATCCATATAGAGCCTACGGCTTAGAGAATATGAACACATATAAGGGTTGGATATTTGATTTAAGAATTGAAAAGGAAAATCGTCTTACCTTGAAATTTGCACCAATTTATACATTTTGTAGATACTAATAAACCATATATGCTCATTTGAATTGGGGAAAGGGGGTAATAAACGTATAAAATTGATTAGGATCGGTATAAACAGAAGTAACTTCAAATATTTGAAATCAAAATTGAATCGGATTTATTAGATCTAGACGAGATGGGATGAAGAAATTAAAAGTGGGAAACGTCTACGATTGATGTGTTAAGAGAGTGGGTGCATATGGTGGGATGGAAAGGACTCGGATGGAGGATGAGTTTTTACGGCCGACAGGGATGTAATGAAAAAGAGAATTCTGGAGAGGTGTAGAAATCTGGAATCACAATTATTTATTTGTACCAATTTCTATTTCATGATTCTTTTTGCGAAATTGTTTGTTTCATATTGATATCACCAAGTCAGTCTCAAAAAATATTGGAGTCGGCTAACATGAATCGATACATGATATCACCACAAAAAAGAATTGTGGTGATAAGCTATTAAAAATAATGATAAAAAAGATAAGCTGTTATAAAAAAGATAATATAAAAAGAAATGAATGTACCTAGAAATGATAAAATAAAAAGGATAAATATAATGTTTATATATAAGGATAAAAAATAAAAAATAAAATAAAAAATAAAAAAATGAATAAAAATGAGGGGAAAAGATCAGATATTGTTAAAAAAGGATACAAATTAGTAATATTGTTAAAAAATAAAAATTAGTATGCTTTTCTTTCTAAATTTGTTCAAATGGGTATTATTAAGATGTCCTCAATTGGTTTGATTACAGTTACATATATCAGATTAAACAAGCCTAAATTAGATCAAATAAGATTGGACTAGACAATTTTAGCACAATAGATCATCAATAGATATCATCGATAGATCAAATTAGACTAAATTACACCATAAAATTCAATACAATTAAAAACATCATTCATATTAGGAAAATTGACAGTGATAAACAAAGTTAGAATAGCACATTTCGTTGTTTATAATTTATACAAAGTATATTTACATATTTTATGTATTTAATTACGTATAGTATTGATTATTCATTTTCTATAGTTATAATATAAAAATATATACACAGTGAAATTCAAAAAATGTGGCGTACTCGATGCTCATATTGTTATATTGCATCCGTCCCACTAAATTTGCCTCATCATTTTTTTCAGTGCGTTCCACTAAGATTGTCTCATATTAAATTTGGAAAATTTTATGTGTTTCTAAATCATTTTTACTTTATTTTTACTTTAATAATCCAATATCTATCAATGTTCAGTCATACTATTTCTTCATGTCTCAATGTTAGTGCGGCAGAGGTAATATACGTGAAATGTAGGCAAATTTATCATTTCAACGTATATTGATCGAATCATTTTTGCTCTTTTAACCATTTCTTATAGAACTATTTTTTATGTATCTCTATTTTTTTCACTCATTTATACATTATAATTTTATGATTCTTTGGTGTCATTAGGTAATTACTGTTAATGTAAATAAATAAATAGAATTACATTACTGTATTAAATTTTGACCCGTGCATCGCACAGGTGAGAATTAGTATATGAGAAGGTGAAGATGAAGATGGTACATTAACCTTAGAAGGTGAAGATGGTCAATTATGGTACATTACTGTACACTAAGATTACTGTATCCAATCGTGAATCCCGGGCTACATTAACCTTGAGAAGGTGAAGATGGTCAATTCCGGTCACGCCACCCACTAGTTTTACTAACACGGAAAAGAAACATAAACCTCGCCACTCCCAAAACCCTCTTAACTAACTGAGCTTCTGTCTTGAACTGTCTACACAGGTAAGGAACAATCACTTCATTTCGCCACGAGCTCGTTCCCACGCTGCCCGGCTCGTCGCGAAATGGCGAAACTCCGGACAGCGATTGACTCGGCATTTTGGGATCTCAACGTCTCTACTGCTCGAACCCTAGATGGTACAGCCAGGTCCATTCCGGGCGAGCCCATGCCAATGAACGGTGGTAGAACAAATCAAGCTCTCCGAGTACAACAGCTCTCTCTTATCGGAAATGGGTTCCCTCTAGGTCTCGTCCCTTCTTTCTCTCCTCCGTCTAGGAAAGAATTGGGCTCTTTTGCTCTCCAGTCTCTCTTTCTCAGAGCTGCCATTTCAAATTGGTACTCTTTTCATAACACCCAGCTGAAATGTTGGAGTCTTATATTATATGTTTTTAGTTATTATTCGTATCTCGAAAATTGCCTGTTATGGACTAATGGACTTGGCTTATGTGTTGTTAATTAATGGACTAATTGAAATCTTAGGACTCTTTCTGCACTGTTTCTTGTTTTATGTGAACTAAAAACAGGGTAATGAAAATCAAAATAAGTAAATTTTTTAGTTTTATGCTATTTTTCTAAAAGGTTCACATGATTAGTATATGTAATATGTATGACTACTTTTTGGTTTATCAAACGATCTATACATATACCTGTTTAACATCATTAACTAAAAAACTAAAAAATAGCAGTGACACCGAAGTGGGCCATTAGGGCAGCATAGTAATCCTTTCTGTTTGAGATATGCCACATATAATAATGTCTTCTCTGTTTGAGATATGCCACATATTATTGTTTCGTGCTCTTTAAACAACCAGTTTTAGCTCATTAGATGCCAAGTAACCCATGATGGAGTAGTTAACACTTGTTTCTCTCTAGGTGGGTTGGATTAGTGGGACAAGTTCGTCCAAAGAAGCTGATATCTAAACTCAAAGAAGAAATAAATGCCATCAGAGAAGAAATAGGTCCGAAAATCGAGTGGGTGGATTTGGAACTGTCAACATTCAAAGGTCTGCCTAAGTGTTTTATTGACAAATCATTTTATTGGCTTGGTGCATGCTCACACCTTTCTCTGACGGATTCGTCTTCCGTATTATTAAACATGGAGAAGCCGGGTGAGAGGGAGGGGCAACGCTTGAAGGCAATGTTCATGCATAAGGCAAGATAGTATGCTATAATTTTTAACGTCGTATAATTGTAACATAATATTATGATTTTCAGTCAACAACACCTCACAACATCTAAGCCTCAGTCTCAAAAGATTTTGTAGTCAGCTAACATGAATCATTATATGGAGTTGGAGCTAAAAAGCTGAAATGAGATCAATCGGCCACACATATTTTATCCCTCCACTTCGCTCTCTCCAAAAGTGATACTCTATTTGCCAAATATTCTCTTGCTCTCTTCTTTCCAGCTAGGTTCAACTGATTCAAACAACTCTTGATGTTTTTTCTTTTCCTTTCCATTGAACAATTACAACAGAGTAGCATAACTTCTTTATTTTTTTTTCTTTTTATGAAACTTGATCCAGAATATCAAAGTGTGTAGGATCCAGCCATTTCTTCTCCTTTTTTCTCATGTTAACAAATTTTTATGTTTGTAATAACTACTAAGTGTAATAAATCTTAAAAACATTCATTTAAAGAGTTAAACTTATGATAGTGGTTTATGCCATGTATTTATACTTTAGATTACTAGTATTTTGTAATTTTAAACGGAGTTCAGTAAAAAGCTTGAGGCTTATGCCTCAAAGTGCCTTGAGGCTTATGCCTCTCCATGCTAATAAAAATGCCTTTTGAACATTGGAATCTGGAAATGGGGCTCTTTTTTACAGACAGGGATTGAAGTGCTTAGGAATTATGAAACAAGCAAATAATAAGAGTATAAGGACATATAAGCAAATTTGTTTTTGTCTTGCTTCTAAACGACATCATTGCCTCACAACCCTTCTAAAGGAAACACCAAAACTCTCTTGAGTAAGCAAGCACAAAAGACCTATGGGGGGTGGGGAGCTAAATTACTGATCTCCTAAAGAGCATCTCCATTGATGCAATGTGCACAATGCACACATGGCATGTGAGCGATATGCATATATGATTAACCAAATAATTTTTTTTGTCTTCGTTTCCATTTTTGGGTATTATATTATCTGCAATGCTAAACATGATTTCTACAATATTTTAAAATTTATAATTTTTAGCTTATAACATACTCCCTCCGTCCCATAATTAACTCCTTTTTTTACTAGGCACAGGGATTAAGAAAGTGTAAATTATTTTCCATAAAAGGAAAAAGGAGTTTATATTGGGATGGATGAGAAAGGAAATAATTGAATATATTTTGGGACAGAGACAGTATCTATTAACCATTACGAAGTTATAATCTTAACTAAAGGCTTATCATCTAAAAGTTAAAGATTAATACTGAACACAATAATACAACAATACTTGTGCACATCTAAAATGTTAAATAAAAAATGTTAATAAATTATTATCTAGAAACTAAATTAATGAGAGATAGTCTATAACAGAGCATATTTTTATATTAATGGTTTTCTTCGTATTATTTACCAATTTCTTTGTTTTAGGGGGAAGTGGTCAGTAAGTCAGTTTTTATCTGAGCTATTGGAATTTACAGAATCCATGAAGCAAAACTAGTAATGGAAACCATTTGTTTAATGAGTGCAGCTCATTTCATCACATCATGATTAAAATTTCTTATACTTAATACTCACATCTAGTTCTTACTCCTCCATTCAATGATGTTGAATGCAAGTTCATTTTTCCCATGCAGCTTTCAGACCATGACATTACATTGGAAACTGCTTGGCCTGAGCGATTCATAGATCACAAAGGAAGATACTGGGATGTTCCAGAGTCTATATCTCTTGACTGCTCATCACACGTTTCATCATCCGGATTGCGATATCGGTTTGGTATACATAAAAACAGCGGCCAACCCATTGCAGTTGATAACACTAATGATGCACCCCATCCTGCTCTGATGCCAGGAGTATGTGCAAAAGCTGCTTTTTCTTATGAGAAGCAAAAAGAAATTTGGAGGGAAAAAGAAGAACAGAAAGATCGCTTCATAATGAGAAATGAGCAGTTGTATTTCAGGCCTGCTTATGATTTTCATCTTAAGGAGCCCCATGCAACAATATCTGGAATCATTGGTAAGTTTTCAATTCACAAGAGAAAATATCTGGCAATATTGTTTTGATATTTGTGCAAAGAAAATATAAAGCAAAACACAGGAGAAATTTGGAAGGAAATAAAATTTGGGGAAAAATTGAACTGGTTCAAACTATATATATTAAAAATTACCTAAGATATCTAAATATGTGTAAAGTCTTACAAAGTTTTAATCAGATTTGCTTTTTCTTCATACTTTCCAATTCCCAGGCTAAAACCAAACATATGCTTATCTGTTTGGAACTCTGAAAATGCTGAAGTAAAGAAACTAGGAATGCAAATAGAGGGGAAATTTGGAACAAATGAAATGGAGGAAAGTGTCAAATGAGTACATGAAATTGCGAGCGGGAGAGTAAATCAGTGCTAATTTAGTCCACTCATAGATTAGGGCTTCTAAAACGCTGAGTTGTCAAAAGGATTAGTGATATGGCAAAAAAACCACCTCATCCCTTACTCCACGTTAATAGTTCCACAACCCTACCTAGTAAATAAATAAATGCAGCCTTTTGTTTTTTTATTAAAATTAAGATTCAAAGGGCATAACAGACTTCGAACACGGCATACATTTGCAGATACACGGCTTATGAGTAGCTCTGCTGCTGGCCATACGTGTTAGTCCCACGAGAAGGATACATGTCTGAATTGAATGAGAGAGTGGAATCAAAATAAAAATTGGTGAATTAGTAGAATTGTAAATCAATCTAGATTAAGCTGCAACCGAACCCAAAATTAAGTTAAAGAAAAAGATTCGAGAGACCTTGTTAAATCAAAGTAGGCAGAGAGTTGAATAGAGTGAACCTATTGACTCATGCAAAAGGAGGCGATGCTGCAGCGGCGGCGTTGATGGGCAACGGACGGAGGGCGGCGGCAGCAAGGGTAAACCGCGACTGTAAGACCTGAAACCCTTGCACTGCAGACCTGGCTTACAAGGTAAGGTTGTAACCGGATGATGTGGCTTGTTTTTTATGCCATATCACTAATCTGTTTGCCAACTCAGAGTTTTAAACTCCTAATGCCTGAGTGGACTAAATTAACTCTGCTTTTACGAGTTAAGGGACTTTTGAGTCACGCTTACGCAATTATGTACTCTTTACTCCCTCGCTCACAATTTGATGTACTGATCTAACACTTTTCTCAAATGAAATGGAAGGGATGCTAACAAATTGGTTCAAAATCAATAAATCAATGTTAGATATTTCTACAGTGCTAAGACTCAAATTGGGTAAATACATGTAAAAAGAATTAAAAAGGGTTTCTCCTAAAGTATTACTATATTGAAGCCCAATTCTAAACAATTGACTACATTTAATATATATTGACATAAATGTGAGTACAAGGTAATAAAATTGGGAAAATACAATTTATTATGTTATGCCACAAACCGGTTGTTAGTTGTGTCACTGTCACTACCACCGTCTAACATGTCACTGTGGCCATCAACAAAATTTTCCAGTCAATTTGTTAAAAAATCAGAAAAAACAATCCTGTAGTAGGCACTGGCGGGGCTGTGCAGGTGGGGGGGCAGTTGGGTAGGGATTGGAAGGACAAGAAATTATAATTATTAAAATGTTTGAAGGTAAGTCACATATTTGGATACAAAAACTACTCATATTCTTGTTCTCCAAAAGTATAGGGGTGATATTTATGTCATTCTTTCAATTAAAATTGTAATCATATTTGATTCTCCTTTTGTATTTTCTAAGTTAAGGCCAGCATAAATATGATGTTCTCTTGAAATTCTGTTCTCTTATCAGTTATCCCTACAATTTTCCGAGTCCAAACCATGCCTCGATGTCCACCGTTAAGGCAATGTTTGGTTTTGGTTGTTATCTTTTTTTGTGAGCGTATGATACCCTAGTTACCTACTTACCTGGTTTTCCTCCCTGGATACTATGTTTGCCCATTCATTTCAGGTGGAACTTGTGCTGCATGGGTTGGTGGTGGAAATAACACTTATCTAGGCTCTTCTAGGAGCAGTTTCAGTGCTGACTTGTTTGCCTCAGCTGGCTATACTTTCCAGCATGGAAAATTCAGAAATTTATTTAATGATCTCACCAGAGTAGATGCTCGTTTAGACATACGTTCTGCAGCAGCATTGGCCAAACAGGTTTCTAAACTTTTCACGGGTGCTACCAGTGACAGTGCAAAAGATGGACTGTATTCCCCCAGGCTGAACTTGATCTTACAACAGCAGGTAATTAAGAAAACTACAATTTGAATCATTGTGAAACACTACGTGCCCATCCTTTTTAGTTCATTATATAAATTTTAAATAAATTGTGAATGTATTTCCAAAATAAAAAATATCTCCAAATGTATTTATCGAATTGCAATTGGCCATAAGCATGAAAGGGATTTGTTGCCAGGTGTATTTCTTTGATTAAATGGATCACTGAATTACTCCCTTTGTCCCATAAAATTCTTCCCGATTTGACTTGGATCGGAGTTTAAGAAAGTGAGAATAAAGTGGAAATGTATGGTTGTGGTTGAGTAAGAAAAAGATAAATGAATGATAGCCACACAATACTTTCCAAAAAGGGAAACGGGAAAGAATTTTTTGGAACATCCCAAAAAGGTAAGTGAGAATAATTTTATGGGACGGAGGGAGTATGTTGTATGTAAATCACTTTTGGGGGGCCTGAAACATTTTCGTTAAGGAAAAGTTTTTTGAATTCTTTGCATTTCTATAGGGAAAAAACAAGAAAACGAAGTCATTTTTCTGATCAAGTTTTACTTTTTCTTTGTTTTGTTGGATATACATTACTAGTACTACCTCCGTTCTTAAGTAAATGCAACATGTGGAATTTTACACTATTCACATGTTGTACTTTGACTACATTTTGTTTATTATGTATTAATAATTTATTTTTAAAAATATATTATTAAATTTGTTTCATCCTAAATTTTCAAAATCTTAATTTTTATTAATTTTTTTACTAAAAGAGAATAAAACATATTAGTAGTCAAAGTTGTGCATTGGCAAACGTGAAAAGTTGACCTAGTTGTGAGACCTGATTACTGTTTCTAATGGTCCAAAAGGTTATACGTAGTATATGAAATTTAGATAAGCTATTACGGTTTCTAATGGTCCAAAATGCACAAAATAAACTTTTGTGGTGGTGTTTGAACACCCATTAACAGTGCTCTTGAATGGTCCAATGAAAATTGTTTTTTTTTCCCTTTTTGATTCTCAATCATCTACCTTAGTTGTGAGACCTAATTATGATTCCAGCTATGTCCTAGTCCCTCCCCAAATCCCCAACAATCTTGCCCAAAAAAAAGAAAGTCAATAAAACATACAGAAGCTCCTCTCTCGTCAAAGGTGGAAGATACTACCCTTAATTTCATTAACCCTTCTCCTTTTATTTCTGTTGCCATTTACATCCCTTTTCCATATTTTAATTTTTGAAAGAACTGTGTTGCTTGCGCTGAAGGAATGGCTTAAATGGCCAAAAATGTTTTCAATGTTCTTTTTGGAAGGAGACTATCTGCCATTGTCATATGGACCCTCAAGATATGTGAAAAAATTGACCCACAGTACTTGAATTTTTATCAGATGGTCGAGACCCTTTCTCTTTGGTCCAAAAAGAACCCAAAGTGCCGAAATTAAGATTTGTTTAATTTGGTCGTTCTCCCTTGTATTACACATTCATTAAACTTATTCTTCCAAGAATAGTTTTTTCAAAGAAAATAATTTCAAACACTTTTTTTATGTTCTCATCTTAAAATTTAAATATGCAGGTGATTGGACCAGTTGTGTTCCGCATTGACTCGAGGTATTGTATTTCATCATCTGGGATACCTTTGCCAAGATTAGAAGATTATGTTCTTAGCTTGGACTACTCCCTTAGAGTACTGCATTCTGGGAAAGTGGTGGCATGGTATTCTCCCAGGAGAAATGAGGCTATGCTCGAATTGCGTGTGTTTGAGTTCTAAAATCCACTTCCTGTTATTATTAGCTACAACCAGCCCCTCCTATTTTTATGCAAACAATAGACTGACAGACTTCTTTTAATCGCAATGAATATGCTCACATATTTTTGTTTTCTTTACCACATATAAGTGGGTTTTGGACTTTGGTCGATGGTCTTGACAATGAGATATACAAACCTTTTGGATATATTATATATAAATGAGGAATTCTATTCACACTCCCAAAATTACTAATCACAGCCACATAATTACAATTAAATAAATTTTTCTTTTTTAATATAGTACCCCCGGTCCCCCATACGTTCAAGAAGGAGCCTCCACTTGTTCTGACTGAAAGCTATCTGATCTGGCAACAGACGGCCATTTCTTCTTCTATGATGAGTAGATCGAATTGAGGGTCACACTTGACTTTGCTTCTTTACTGGAGAATCTCGAATCCAGAGTTTTGCTGGAAAATTGAGCAAACATCACTTGCATACTCGAGAGCATGAAGTGCGGAGGAGCCAGCGAAAGAGCACGAGATGCCAAAAGAGGAAATAAGGAACTTTTCGTCACTAGCGGGCGTAGAAGAGATACGGCGTAGGTGATCGAAATCCATGCTCCGGTTTATATGGAAATTGCTACAGATGCGCAAGAACCATACTCACTGATTCTCATCATCCAAGAGTCTCCTCATGTATTCAATGATCCGTCGCTGCCTGAACATCAGAACATGTGGCTGTCTGGTATTCGAAGTAGTTCTGCCAGAGATTGAAATGTCTGTAACAGTCTGTTCCGCCAAGGCGCCAACCTTCAAATGCACCCTTTGAAACTTGAAAGTGAAGAAGATGAGTCAGGGGATTAGGGAGAATACAAGTCCACGGTGATGGGTCAAAATTAAGGGCAAATTAGCTAGTTTAAATATTTTTATTTATTAAATTAATTATGGCGGCTATGGATAGAAATTGTGTGGTTGTGAATAGAATTCCCCTATACCGCTATATAAATTGGGTGCATCAACCCACTATGATTTTAAAAAGTGCATCAAATTCATCTGTGTTATAATTATTCACGCGCAAAACCCTTTCTAAGAATAACTTTAACAATTTGGAAATCACTTGTCATTTTTTGAACGAAAGATCAATCATCTCATTATATACGCATATCGTTTGCCATCCGGCTTACAAGAAAATCAAGAAGAATTGTAAAAACATTACTCTGATCTGAGACAGATATGTGTTTCCCAGCAATTGCCCCACGATTCGCAGATCGACTACAAAAAGAGATTTTAAAATTGAAATCACTCGTCTTAATAATATGATTGAATATGTAAGTAACTTTATTAAGATTTCTAAATTATACAAAAATAGTATTCATTTTTCGTAATTAAATTTATTTGAAAAGGGGTTTTTGCATGGAGGTTTATATTTCGTAAGTGCTTCTCTTGTTTGGAGTTAACTCGGCGCTGTTTTTGAATTTGAATGTAATATTTACTTATCTTTTAATTTTGGTAAATGAAGAATCAATGCGAATTTTAACTCTATGATCCATATGAACCGAACTCTCTCTTCTCTCTAGAGAGAGGAACCGTAGCGGCCGTTTCCCCTCTTTGTAGGGGTTGAGATTTTCTGCCGCCACTATCAATATGGGGTTGGAGCAGCAGATTATACTGATTTGAAGTGTTCTACGTCGGAGGAGATAGCGTTGACGGATGAATAGGTGCGGCTGGGAGGTTGTATCAAGGCTGAATCGTGAAGCCTTGGTCGACCATTCCGACAATGGTGGAGTTGGTATTCACCCGTATTGCAAGAGCTCGTCCTCCTCCGGAACCGCCTTCATACCAGGAACAGCTTTGTGGAAAGATTTTATTTCAGAACTATTTTTTCTTTAGTAGCAATTGTTTCTGTTTTAGTCCAAGTAGATTTGGTTTGAGTGTTTGGATTTTTTGAGTTCTTTTGATAGGCAAGGTTTCGGTTACGGTCGTTTTAGGCCTAAGTTTGTTCGTTTCAGATTTAGCGAGTCATGTCGCTTTGTATGAGGCGACTGACTCTAAGTCTACTCCTAGGGTTCACGATTGGATCTGTAAATTTTGTCTGAAGGTTGTCTTGTATGTGTTGTCGATTTTAATATAACGACCGCTCTTTTATGATAAAAAAACTCTATGATCCATATGTATGTGCAAAGGAAAAGAGAGAATTAAGTGGTGCAATGCTCTAAAAACTCTAGCAACGACCAATCTCACAGATCTATGCTGGTAGTGTGACCAAGATGAGCGCACGATTGGGACTAGGAGGGATGCTTTGCAGTCATTCTCTCCCCGGCTAGGTTGAAGATAATGTCGCTCTAGAAGTATGACCCAACTTGACTGCTTTTCTTTCGTAGTTGTGTTTGTTCTGTTCTATGTCAATTCTTTATTTAGGCCTTGGTGCTCCAGGCGTATTTTGTCTCCCTCGATGTGGGGAATTGCTTTGGTGTCCGGGCTTGCTTCACCTAGTCAGGGTTTTTGTCATCTTTCTTTCAGGTTGTGTAGAAAATGCAAGAGACATAAATGGTGATTTTGTCTCCTCCAGTTTTTACATCTTTTCAAAACGAAGTCAGAAAAGAATCTAGTGTTCACTCATATTGCAATAGCTCATCCTGCTCCGGAACTACTTTCATGCCAAAAGTGTTTCATGAAAAGATTTTGTGTTTATTTTAGTTCGAGTAGGTTTGATTTGGATATTGGATTTTTGAAGTACTTTTGAAAGATGGTGTTTCAGTTCTGATCATTTTAGGCTTAAAATTGTTCATTTTGTATCTAGCGAGTCAGGTCGCTTTGTATAAAGTGACTGATTCTATGTTTATTCCTAGGGCTTACGATTGGATCTGTTGTAGCTTGTAACTAGGGGTGGGCAAACAGGTCTAGAACCGCGGTTCGGGGCGGGTAATAACGGGTCGGGCGGGTAATGTGCGGTTCTAAATTTTTGAAAAAGGAAACGGGCCGGGGCGGGTAATATCTGATATAGGATCGGGCCGGTTCCCACAGTTCAGAATTACGGGTACCCGGCCCGGCCCGTTTAAATTAAATTTCTAATTCAAAATTACCCAAGGCGTGCTGGCCCATAAGGTTTGATGGCCCATAAAAAATTTATACTGTGCACATTGAGTGAACTACGGAGATGGCGTTCTTTCGCTCATTGAATAGATTGTGGAGTATCAATTACGGAGTATTATATACTCCGTATACTATATTGGAAGGAGGAATGCCTCATCTCGTTTCGGTGTGGGACGTATATCTCCCGAGTTGGAAGAATGCTGAAGACAAACGGAGTGACAAACTATATGATCAATACTTTTTGCTATTATCATATAATAATAATAATAATAATAATAATAATAATAATAATAATAATAATAATAATAATAATAATAATAATAATAATAATAATAATAATAATAATAATAATAATAATAATAATAATAATAATAATAATAATAATCATTATCTTGCAAAAAAAAAAATCATTATTATACAAAGTACTTCGTATATTATATCGAGTAAGTTGTAAGCCTGTAATAAGCACTATAATACTAAGTATATACTAGTACTACGTATTACATTATAACTTGTATTTTAATTTTATTATTATTAATATGTATTATCATTGAACTATTTTTACCACTGAACTTTTGCATACTATGTTATAGATATGTATCGTTTTTTGAAATCTAGATATTTGTTTGTTGGGAAAAATACCAATATATTACTAAAACATGTCCACTTTCCCAGAATATGACTTAAGAAGTTTATTTACCATTATATGACTAGTAATGGGTGTAGAGGCATACGACATGCTTTAATATAGCAGTTACATTTGTAAGATGGCATGTCATTAATGCATCATTCTAGGAAAAAAACTATCCAAGTCATACATTGGGAAATTGTATCTCTTCTAATCATACATGTGTTAATTTTCTCTTGTTTCAATTAGAGAATGTAATATTATGATGTTTTCCAAGATATTTGTAATACGGAGTAGGACTAATGTGCAAAAACGGTTACATTAATAATAAATACGGAGTATGTACTAAGGTTTGATTTAACATGTTCTGTGCGACTCGTTGCGTTTTTAGAAGGGACTTGTCAAATTCTAGAATTAAAATAACTCAAGGAAAATATAGAGATGAAGACCCGAAAACCCCAAACCGAATTACCCGTTTCCAACGGGGCGGGTTAGGTCCGGTTCCTACGATAGCAATTGATGTACCCGCCCCGTAGGGGTGGACTCGGGCCGGGTGGCCCGACCCGGAACCGGCCCGAACCGGCACTGTTCCGGCCCGGCCTGGCCCGGTGGCCCGGTCAGTGACCGGTCCGGGTAGGCCCGACCCTCTGGGGTTGCGGTCCGGGCTCGGGCCCCCTAAATCACGAACCAGCCCGGCCGGTTCAGGCCCGGTTCCGGTTTATTTTAATTTTTTTTCAATTTTTTTTGGTTTTCGGGTTGGGCAGGGTATTTTGGGCCATTTGGGGTGATTTGGGGTGAGGGGGGGGGGGAGGGTTAGGGGTTAACTAGGAAAAGGAAAAAAATAATAACTAAGGCCCGAGGCCCGGCCCGGCCCGGCCCGACCTGGGGAGTACTTGAGCCGGTTCTGGGCCCCCCATTCCTGAACCGCCGGCCCGGGCCCAAACCGGCACGAGTCCACGCCTACCGCCCCGCCCCTACCCGCTCAAAGGAACCGTAGGTTCCTGAAAAATTAAGGTGAACCCGGACCGATCCGGACCGTGCCCACCCCTAGTTGTAACTATCTGGAGATTGTTTTGTATGTTTGTCATATTAACATAAAAGCCGCTCCCATTATTTTTAAAAAAAAAACCTATGATCCATCCAATCACATAAGACTTACAACAGGACAAAGTAAAGCAAAATATGATTAATCAAATACTTCTACAATTTTGTGTACATATAGAATATTTGAATTGCATAGAGCGATAGAGTCAATTAAGAGTAAACAGAGTCTTGTTTTTGAATTTTGGTGTAAATGTTACCCGACCCTAATACTTTGATACTGAAGTCAAAATTAAGAGTTCTAAAACTTCATATGATCTTTGAAACGCTTAAAACGAAATAAATAGAATATACGATATAATCAAATCAAATACGGTCGCTTACTCACGTGCTTAGTGGTGGACCGGGCCCGGTCCGGTTCCGGCCTAGGCCCGGCCGGGCCTGGAACATTTTGGGTAAGGCCCGAAACCGGCTCGGGAGTCTACCGATTCTGGGCCGGTCCCGGGCCGGTCTGGTTCCCGATTCATTGTTTTTTTGTTTCTTATTTATTTCAACCCCTACCCCCCAAACCCCTCATAAACACCCAACCCAGCCCACCTAAACCCAGTCCAAACCCAAAAAATAGGCCCGAACCGGCCGGTTCGCCTTTTTAAGGCATCAGAACCGCCCCCGGTTACCCCCTCGGGCCGGGCCTAGGCCCGAAACCGGAAACGGTTTCCCGGGCCAAGTCGGTCCCGCACAGTAGCGGGTCGGGCCGGTTTCTGGGCCGGTTGGACCAGACCGGGTCCACCACTACACGTACTCCCTACTCCTCCCCTACGTGTCTCCATACCCCTTACCTCCAACCGTTCCCCTACATGTACACTTACCCTTACCCCCACCCGCCCCAACCCCTACCCGTACTCATACCCCTTACTCTTGCCCCGACCCTACCCCTACTCGTCCCTCGTCACCCCTACCCCCACCCCCAAACCCCCTCGTGCCCCCCGATCCGACCCCCAACTTTTTGCCCTACCCCAAACCCTAACCCTGTTCCCCCACCCCCGCCCTACTACCCACCCTACACCATTGGGTAGGTGTAAGGGGTACGAGGACGGGTAGGGGTGGGGTAGGGGAAAATGTGTATGGGTAGAGG